AATCACATCCATAGCAGCTAGGAGCAGCAGCCATCATAGGCCCTCTCAGGGTTCTCCCATTTAAACCCTCTCCAGAGTCCCCCCAAATTAAACTCTCTGTAGCTGGCAAAACCACACCCGACTAGTGCACGAGGCAAATCATAATCACCTGCTGTGAAGCAGCCTCTTACCCCACATCTGGGATTAAAAAAACTATTTACATAACTTTTTTCTTCAATTATTTTATATTCTGAGTACAGCCCCCCTTCCCAGTCCCACCCTAACAATTCCTCCCTATATTACCCCTCCCCTTTTCTTCAGAGGGAGAAAGCCCTCTTTCGGTACCACCCAACCCTGGGACATTTAGTTCCAGCAGGACTAAGTACATCCTCTCCCACTGAGGCCCAACCAGGCAGTCCAGGTAGAGGAAGGGGATCCAAAGGCAGGAAACAGAGTCAGAGACAGACAGCCTTTGCTTCAATTGTTAAGGAATCCATATGAAGACCAAGCTGCACATCTGCTACAAGTGTGTTGGGCGTCTAGCCCATGCATGCTCTTTGGTTGCTGGACCCATAAGTTGACTTTTAAAGAAACCAAAATTCCCACTGTACCCATGCCGTGGGCCCACATCACAGGCCGGCCTCTCACTATGCTCTGAGGTCTTCCTGCTGCTGTCCGAAGATTTCCTTCTGCCCTATCTTCCAGTTCACTAATCGTCTCTTCCACTGGATCTAATCTGCCTTTACGCTCATCCAGTAGGTTTGAATTTCATTAAATCCTGTTTTTGGAGTTTCAGTTGGATTCTGAAACCTCTTCTACTTCTCTGTGCAAAGTTTCTTGTCTTCAAATTCATTTCCTGGGCATATTCAATCACAGCTACTCTCCAGTCTCTCTGGTTAAGTCCACACCCTCTCCTGTGGGCTTATTTCTTCTGGATATGTTTCCTGAACTGGGTCATGTGGTTTTCTTTGTAAACATTAGTTCTGGACGCTCTGAAAGAGAACAAAACACACCAGAGCTTCACACACAGTCCCCTTGCCTAGATCTTTCTGCTTCAGGTTGCTGGTGGGAAGCAGGACAGAGAAGCTTTGTTCAGATTGTAACTGGACAGGATGGTCCTGAGGGAGGGATGAGCTACCCAGCCTCTTTCCTAGTTTCGTGCTGCTGTGGCAAAATACCGTGATAGAACCAATTTAGGGAAGGAACGGGTTTGGTTCTCAGTTCCAGGACCATCCTTGTGGGGAAGCAAAGCATCTTTCCTTTCTTGACTTTTCTTCTCTCAGAGAAAGTCTCCTTGTTGGTTAGCTACCTGAAATATCATCTCTCTCTCTCTCTCTCTCTTTCGAGACAGGGTTTCTCTGTGTAGCCCTGGCTGTCCTGGAACTCACTCTGTAGACCAGGCTGGCCTGGAACTCAGAAATCCACCTGCCTCTGCCTTCCAAGTGCTGGGATTAAAGGCGTGTGCCACCACTGCCCGCTACCTGGAATCTTTATGAAAAAAAATTTTTCTTTTTTAAAGAAAAAATTTTAAAGAGATAAGGAGCCATTTTTTTTTTAATAGTTAGAGATATGGAGTCTCCTCCAAGCTCATGATCTTCCTGCCTCTGCCCCACGTGCTAGGATCACTGGTATACTGTATTGTGTCCAGCAGCTATCGGAGCTAACAATCCATCCTCATGGGGAGTCCCTCAGTGCCAGCCTTCTCTGGCTGTTTGGTACTTGAAGGCATGTTCCATTTGTAGAGACATTTAAATCTGTTAGAAACCCGTACATATTTCTTTAGTTTAGGGAAATGTCTTCAGTTGTCTGTCTCTTTGTTCCATTTTCTTTCTCTGAGACCCTGTTAGATGGATACATATTTGCACTGCTCCCCAGGGTTTCTGTTTCCTCAAGTCCTTCTCGTCCCCTGAGATGGCCCAGAGTCCTGTGATTTCCCTTGGGAAGTTTCTCAGCCACAGCCCTCTCTTCTTCTCTGGATGCTGTTCCTGATCCTCAGCTGTCCCCTCGGAGGGTTGTGTGGCCAGGTGTGTGTGGAACCTCAGCTTATAATGGGGTGTCTGGGTCTGCTGTATGAAGGCAGGCTGGGATGCCGGATGCAAGGCAAGCCATTCTTCTCAGCTAACCAAAGTCATGCTAAGGTTCTGTTCATGCCCAAGGGGCCTCCTTACAACAATGTTGTTTTGTTTTTAAATGTGTATATGTATTTTAGCTGTGTGTGGATAGGTGTGAGTGCAGTACCTATAGAGGCCAGGAGAGGGTGCCAGATCTCCTGGAGAAGAGGCGCTGAGATCCAAACTCAGGTCCTTTGGAAAAACATTGTGTTCTGTTAACATACACATACACACACACACACACACACACACACACCTTAAGAACAGGTTTGAAAAACACAAGAGTGGCCGGGCGGTGGTGGTGCATGCCTTTAATCCCAGCACTTGGGAGGCAGAGGCAGGTGGATTTCTGAGTTTGAGGCCAGCCTGGTCTACAGAGTGAGTTCCAGGACAGCCAGGACTACACAGAGAAACCCTGTCTCCAAAAAACAAAAAAACAAAAAGCAAAAAACCAAAAAAAAAAAAAAAAAAAAAAAACAAAACCAAACCAACCAACCAACCAACCAAACACAAAAAAACCACGAGAGTGAGCATATTCCTGTTACCAGTTGTTCACTTTGTATGACGGTAGGTTTTCAGCATGTGTATGGATCACCGTGTAGTGTGACTGGATCACAGTGTGGCTATTCCTTGCTGCAGCCCATGTAGGTGCTGAGTTAATCCGTCCTGAGCTACACAGGTTGCACTTGGCTCACTTGGTAACAGATGCCCTCAGCCACACATCCTCACGGTTCAATTCCTGTATCCTATAAACTTAATGCAACAACTTATAACACTTGGCATCTTAGAGCTGATGACACACTGTGGTCTGAACACTGCCTACCCAGAATCACTCTTCTGCTATCAGTGGAGGGAAGGTGTGCTCTGATCTCCAACAACTGCTTCAGCCTGGCTGGTTTCTGGAATCTCTGTCTCCCAGATACATAGACTCAGCTGGACATTCCAGAGATATGTTCAGCTAAGACTGACCATGGTCTATATTTGAGGAAAATCTACACCTCAGTCTGGTTGGGGTGAGGGATGAGCTCCAAACAGGTCTTTGTGGAAAGACCTTGACAAACTTCCTGAGGAAGGGTCAATGTGTACAGGGGAAAGAGGCTAAAAAGGGTTGGGCTCACTGACATTTGGCTTAGTGGCTTTGCAGTGTTACCAGGAAGTAGGGATACTTGTCTGCTGGCCCTTCCTTGGAACAGAAACGTACTTCTGTCAAACTGAGAGTGTCAATTCTCTGGAGGCCGCTATGTGGTCCTGGAACATGGCCACCAACACCACCTTGGGACTACTGTGGGTGACGGTGCCAGTCCTTACTGGTCTGTTTTGCTGGTGTTAGCATATAGACACAGAGGGCCTGTGGACTGCATTCTAAAAACTCATGCCAAAATACAAAGAAAGGACACTCTTGACCCCCTAGCCAGGGCTCCCAATGGATCTACCAGCGTGCTGCTTAAAGTTCCCTTGTTCTGCTTACCAAGTTGACTCCTTGGGCACGTTATTAAACGTCTAGGTATCTTAGTATCCTGTGTAAAATTGCTTATCATCGTCCACAACAGCATTCCAGAAACTCAGCAAATAGTAGGTCAAAAGGAAGGCTTTCTGTGCCTGCCACTATCACCTACCCCAGCCACCTAGTGGCTACTTTGGGACTACGTAAGGAGGTAGAAGGTTAGATAGATACTGAGAATGAAGGCTTCCCAGAGGCTTGTCCCTCCTGGAGCCATCTTGGAAATGCCCTTGTAGAAGCTGGTCCACCCCACCCAGGTAGACAAATGGAAAAAGATGAAAAAGGAGTATGTGCTGGCTTTCTGGGCCAACAGGAGTCATCCTCTATGTCCTCAAAGGATGCCTCTGCCAGATGTGAGCCCTCCTGTGACATTCAAATTCAAGGCCAGAGGTCTGTTCCAGGAGTGAGTGGTCCATAAACCATGCCTTCTTACTGGTCTTCCGGACCACCTATAAGGGTTAGCCTGACGAGCCTGACTTTCTTCGCCCTCTCTTCCCCAAATGCAGCATGTATATAAGAAGAGTCCCCAAACGTGGATAGCTAAGTGGCTGCCGGTTGGGCCAAAGCATTCCTCTGGCTCCTGACCTAGCACAAGCGCCCCCAGTCCTGCAGTGCGTCCCCGCTCCCTGCGTGGCCGCGTAGCCTTGCACCCACATCCGGGGTCTCTGGGCCCAGGTCCTGGAGTCGCGCGTCCCCGGGTCTCTGCGCGCGCCCGGGCGCCTGACCCGCCCCGTGACGCATTCGCAACCGTCCGGAGTCGCGGCTGGCCAGCGCGCGCCCGCGGCGCCGGGGCACGCGCCTCGTGCACGCGCCCGGCCACGTGACTCCGCGCGGCCAACCGGCGCGCCGGGATTTAGGGATAAAGCGCGGCCCCGCGACAGTTGCGGCGGGAGAGCGGCGGGGCAGAGAGCGTGACTCGCCCGCTCCAGTGCCACCGGTTCCCGCTGCGCTTGCCGCCACCGTCGCCGCGCAACCATGTCGGAAGAGAAGCCCAAGGTAAGCCCGGGGACGCAAGCCGCCGCCGATTCCGCGGGACGCAGGCTGGGCCGCGCGCAAACAGGGCCCGCGGGACCGCGCCCGAGCCTCCGCGCCCCTCCCCCACCGGCCCGCGCCCCTCCCCCACCGGCCTCGCACTCCGCCCCGGGCTCCGCTCTAGCCCCGCCCCCGGCTGTGCCTCCCGCCACGCCGAAGCTCCGCCCCCGGGCTAGCTCCGCCTCGGGTGTAGCCACGCCCACGGCCCGAGAACCCGGAACTTGGGTGCTGGTGCTTGGTTAGCCCGGGCTCTCTCTCTCTGTCCGACCTCACTGCCGAGACGCGGCTGTCCTTCGCGTGCGGTGCGCAGCGGTGCACGCGTGGTGCCGCGCGCGTGAGGCTCGGGGCGCTCTGAGAGCTGCACCGGTGTCGGAGCAAGGCTGGCCGCTCCGAGCTAACAGTGGTTCCCCCTCTCCTCGGCCGCATGCCCTCCCACTCCACGGCTGTGGTCTCCGGCAGTCGGTGCGTGGGAAAGGCCAGGGTTGCCCGTTCCAAATTGAACAGTTTTCCCACCCTCACCTCCCCTGCTGGGGGCAGTTTTATCCAACGGGAGATAAACATTGGAGCCTGACATTCTGTGCTGTTGACCCTCGGCCTGGAGATGACCACTCTCTTGCTTCAGGTGAGAGACCCCAGGAGCCGGGCAAGCATCTGGAATAATGCCATGGTACCATGCTCAGCAGCCGAACCCAGAAATATCTTGCCTGCAGGGCCCTTACCTGTAATTTCAGCTCAGCCTTGGGTCCTACCTGCACCATCCCGGATATATTTTGGTGTACAAAAACCCAGGGGGCTTTTGAACAGTAGGCAGATGCTCTACCAGTGAGTTACTTCCCTCCCCCGGGGCCCCCTTCCCCCCCCCCCCCTTTTTTTTTATACAAGGTTTCTTTGTAGTCCAGACTGTCCTGGAACTCTCTAGATCAGGCTGGCTTCAAACTCAAAGAGATCCTCCTGCTTCTGCCTCCTGAATGTTGAGATTAAAGGAGGGTGTCACCAAGCCTGGCCTGCCTTCATTTGGTTTTGCTGTGTTTTGAGACCAGTTTCCCTGTGTTAGTCAGGCTGACCTCCACCTATACTCAGGAGGAGTGCTGGGGTATCAGGTGATGGCGGCCACTGTGCTAAACCCTCCTCCTCCTCCTCCTCTTCCTCTTCCTCCTCCTCCTCTTCCTCCTCTTCCTCCTCCTCCTCCTCTTCCTTCTCCTCCTCCTCTTCCTCCTCCTCCTCATCCTTCTTCTTCTTCTTCTTCTTCTTCTTTTTTTTTTTTCCAAGACAGGGTTTCTCTGTGTAGCCCTGGCTGGCCTGGAACTCACTCTGTAGACCAGGCTGGCCTCAAACTCAGAAATCCACCTGCCTCTGCCTCCCAAATGCTGGGATTAAAGGCATGCGCTGCAACCCTTCTTCTGAATTTACTTGCTAATTAGAGAACTCCTGGCCAGAGCCAGGCATCCTGCCGTTGGAGGAAAGCATGCCTGAGGCCTTTTCACCTCTGTCCCTGTTTTTGAACAGACGACATCCTTTTGGGAACTGGGTTAGAAGTCAGTACATCTTGGGACCTTGAGTGGTTCTTACTTCTCACTTGCAGACTTCGTTTTTTCTTTTCTTTTTTTGTTTTTGTTTTTAGATTTATTTATTTTATGTAAGTACAGTGTCACTGTCCTCAGACACACCCAGGAGAGGGTATCGCTCCCATTACAGATGGTTGTGAGCCGCCATGTGGTTTCTGGGAATTGAACTCATGACCTCCGGAAGAGCAGTCAGTGCTCTTAACCGCTGAGCCATCTCTCCAGCCTGTGGACTTTTTTTTCTCATGTTGAACCCACCCTTTGGAGCAGGTGCCCAGCTCTCCAAGCAGTGCCACTGAGTCACTGGTGTCCTGAGAGTGAGTTGGGGGAAGTCTCATACGCAAGGAGATGGGACAGTGGTGTCCAAAGGTGTCCCTTCAGGTCCCTGTTGGGGCCTCTCTCCTGCGAACCATTTCTCAGACTAGAAAGAGCTATGCTCCTACCCAAGGCTGTTAGGACCCAGCACAGGGCAGATTGCTTTCTTCAAACTCAAAGAGATCCTCCTGCTTCTGCCTCCTGAAGGTTGAGATTAAAGGAGTGGGTCGCCAAGCCTGGCCTGCCTTCGTTTGGTTTTGCTGTGTTTTGAGACAGGTTTCCCTGTGTAGCTCAGGCTGGCCTCCACCTATACCCAGGAGTGCTGGGGTATCAGCCCCACACCTGAGCTTCCTGACACTATTCTACCGGTTACTTCAGGAATAAAAACGTTGCCGAGGATATTCCAGAGAAGCAGGGAGCATGCTCCGTGGAACCATGGGAAAAAAGCTGGCCTGATTACTGGGAGAGAGCTTGGTCTGCAAGCAGAGTGGGGGATCTATGTCCTTAGAAATCAGTGGTTCTCGGGAGCTAGAGAGATGGCTCAGTGGTTAAGAACATTGACTTCTCTCCGGAGTACCAGGGTTCAATTCCCAGCACCCACATGGCCGCTGACAACTATCTGTAACTCCACAATCTGACACCCTCACATAGATCTACATGTAGGCAAAACACCAATGCATACAAAATATTAATTAGTTAATTAATTAATGGTCCCCAAGGCTGATGAGACAGCTCAGCAGTAGGATCACTGGTGGCTCTGGATTTCAGAGGACTTGGTTCAAGTCCCAGCACTCATGTTTCTGCTGACAGACATCCGTAACTTCACACCTAGAGGATCTGGAACCTTCTAACCTCCTTGGGCACTACCTACATGGGATTCACAGACACACATGCAGGCAAAATACTGGTACACATTAAAAAGATAATAAATTAAGAAGTGCCCATGAGCTCTTTCATCCGCTGTAGCTGAAATGGCACATCTCATGGGCCGCGCAGCGCATGCTCTGAACAACCCAGAGTTGCTTCTGTGGCCCATAACAAACTTTTTGTTTAAAGTGTGTGTCCAAAGCACAACAAGAAGCGCTGACTTTGCCTTTGTCCAGCAGCTTGTGTGTATCATGATTGTATAAAAACTACTGCTGCACCATAGGATTTATCCTCCGGTATGGAGGATGGAACCCAGAGCCTTGAGCACATAGCATTCTTTAGAGCTGTACAGAGCCCCGGAAGAAAGAGCAGAGTCTGAGATCAGAGGGCCTGACGGAACCACAGCCTTTACCCTGCCGACCCCAGGAGGACCACAGCCTTGACCGACTCCACTGGATTCCCTCAGGGTCCCCTAGTGCTCTCTGGTCCTCCACTCTTGGCTTTATGTTGGCTTTTCTTATCAGTCATATCGAGCCAAGTATAGCCCGCAAATGTGTGTTTTTACTAGCCTCATAAGTAATTTTAAAACAAAGATGGATTTTCTTTGGCTCTCCAGATTTAATGAGCAGAGTTTTTGTCTTTGAGTTGGTAGTCTGTAAGGACTGGCTTCACACTGCAGTTTCTATCACTGTGCTTAACAAATGTAGGTTAAAAATAAATTCGGTGTAAAAATAAGACAGTCACACGAGCAACTTTTAGTTGCTGGGGGAATTTTGAGAATTAGGTTGGTTTTAATGACTCAAAACAACACCCTTACCCAAGGACTTGCACTTTAAACCCTGGTGATTCTGAGCTGGCTTTTGAGACCCATTTTCTGCGTGTCTTGCAGGAGGGTGTGAAGACAGAGAACGACCACATCAACTTGAAGGTGGCGGGGCAGGATGGCTCAGTGGTGCAGTTCAAGATCAAGAGGCACACCCCACTGAGCAAGCTGATGAAGGCCTACTGTGAGAGGCAGGTGTGTGCTGGTCAGAGGAAGGAGCCCTGCGAGGCGGGGAGGGGGCCACTTGTGTTGCAGGCTTGCCGTTGCTGCCCTGGATCTTGGTATCTGCATGTCCTTATAGTGTGTCTTTTCCTGGGCTCTGTCACAGTGGTAGCACACTCCTCTAGGGCCAGCACATGGATCTCTCTGGTGAAGCCCCGTGCTGTACTCAGGTGTGGGATCAGTGCTGGTTGGAAGTCCTCTTTCTGGTAATCCATCCAGTTATGCTGGTGTGTGCTGCCCTCATTTGACAATTTGATTTTTTTTTTATGTTATTTAGGAAAGGGAAGAAACCTGTGACCCTGTCCCTTCATTATCGTTTCAAAAATAGCAAGCTGACTGACTTTGTCCCCAACAGTGACCCCCTGGGTTGTCAGTGTCACTGAACTCATGGCCCTTGTACACACTATGCTTGGGTCTGTCCATCTATTTATTCTTATGAAGGAGCTTTTGTCAGGCAGGCACGTTCTAGCTTGCCTGGAAGTCCTTGGACTTCTGGTCTCGCTTGCTCCTCCGTTGTCTGCCTCAGCGGCTGCCTGGCTTACCATACATGCACCTAGGTGCCAGTTCCTGTCGGAGCCCTGCCATCTGGTGGCTCTTGTAGGGGCCCTGCCCTTTGAGGATAGCAGCATCTCATTTTGGCGGTACAAGGTTTCCCTGAGTGCTTGCCCACACAGCTGTGTGCGGTCCTTTGACTTGCTGTAAGCACTCTGAAAGGCAGTGCATGCCTCCTTTCCCACCTCATGAGCCCTGCAGATGGCACCCTTGGCCTCCTCTCTCCTGGGGTTTGACCTCAGACACTTCTCACCTGTGAAAGGTGAGACGGAGCTTTCTGATGATGCCACGTCCCCTTGTGCCCTCCCAGCTGAGTCAGCTGCGTGTGCCGTGCGCCACCGCTTGGACTGCACGTGTGTAGGTGTGTTCCTTGCCAGTGCTGTGTGCTTAGTCCGCTTGTGTTTGCATGGGCTTCTGGCGCTCCCGGGTCTTCTGCTGAGAAGGCAGCCCTGTGTTGGAGGACACACACTAGGTCAGGTACCTCAGCGCTCTCAGGAGGTACTGCACAGCTGCCATCCCACAGTCTTGGGGGAGTCCTTCCGGAGACTTCCTTTGTTTCCCCTTGCATCTTTTTCTGTGTTAATTCCCTGTTTTTGCCGTGGAACAGCATCTCCCACATCTGGCAGGGACTTGCACATCTGGCTGCATGTAATAGTCTAGGCTGAGGTGCACTGCTCCTGAAGTTGCCGTAATTCTCTGTCAGCGTCCTGTGTTTTGGAACCCGAGTGACATTCTGATTCTCTGATGTGAGATCTCAGCAGGGCCTCAGGAGGACCCTTCCCACTCTGTCAGGGTGCTCTCTGGGCCCTCCCTGTCTGTAGACTTGCCTCTACCTGCCCGTGCTCCTGCGTAGACAGACTGCGCCTGTGCCGCCTCACACTGGGAGTACCCAGCTCTCCTGCAGGCAGCCAGTCTCTGTGTTTGCCTGGGACGGTTTTCTTCCTTTCAAAGATTTATTTATTGTGAATACAATATTCTGCCTGTCTGCATGTCAGAAGAGAGCGCCAGGTCTCATCATAGATGGTTATAAACCACTATGTAGTTACTGGGAATTGAACTCAGGACCTCTGGAAGAGCAGTCAGTGCTCTTAACCTCTGAGCCATCTCTCCAGCCCTCCAGAAGTGCTCCGTCTGCTTATTTTTTTATTTTTTCTCTTTGTGTGTGTGCGCGCGCGCATGCCTTTAACCTTCCTAAAAGCTTTAAATATACATGTGTTTTAACTTCTCCATCACCTTCCTTTTTTTCTGCCTCCTGATGTCGAAGAAACTGGAAATAATAGAATTGATGTTATACAGGGTTTGCTAATACGTTTAGGAGACTTGGAGTCGTGCAAAGTAGAATTCAGCTAAAGGAGTAAAACATTCCACGGACAAAAGGGCAGCCAGGCCTGTTAGAGAGAAGAGAGACGTGGGGTGCTAGGATGTAAGTGTTTATTCTCAGGGACTGTTAGCGCTAGTCTCGCAACAAAGGCGACAACCCTGATTGACAAGCAGCTGCTAGACCCATACCCCTATCCTGTAACGTGCACCTCACAAGGCAGCACAGGGGGACTGAGCAGGTTCACAGCCAGTGGTAAGTCTTGGCCTGGTATAATGTCCCCCGTTCTCTTACTGATAAATGCATGATGCGGTTAGGTAGCAAGGTTACCCAGGTAAGAACTATCTGAAAGAGAACAGCACTGGTGCACTTAAAATAATTCTGGCGCTATGCCATATCTTTGCTGCATAAACCTCCCATCTGCCTAAGTGACCAGACTTGTAGTCTCCTGTCTCTGTTTAAATTGTTCAAAATGTAACCGGGGCCTGGGACCTGAAGGAGATGTAAGGATGCCGCTGTGTGTGGAATTCACAAGCCTGTGGTGTATGTAAGTTAGCAAACTCTTCTGTTTAAGGCCGCCTCCTCTTTGGGCATTAGCCAGAGTCAGACTCGTGCCATTGTATTACACAGCTCTTCCCTTCTCTCTAAGTGTGTGGAGTGACTTCTCACTGGGAAGGCATGTCGTTTCTGTAACTTGCATGGTGCTTTCTTCTTCCTCTGGTCTGTTCTCACATATCTGAGTCTTCCCTTGAGTGCCCTCAGGTCCTATTTGTATTTAAGAGTGAAGCAGCGAACCCCTGAGGGAAAGACAATTCCTGTGTGTGTTTTGATGGATGTGGCAGAGGCTGTACATCCACAGGGTGGTATGTTACAAATGGGGGCTCTGGGGGCCTAGGTGCTGCTCTGAGAGGCTCTGTTTCCTGAGGAAGATTGCCTCCAGACTGCATCCAGCATCTGGGCTACAGCTGGAAGACTGAGGGGTCTCTGAGGCACATTGGAGGTGCTGGCTTTTATTAGCCTACCCTGGACACCCATTGGTCAGATCTGTCTTGACAGAGCTCTGAGCCCACATCTCTAGGAAGCCCTGCTTATTGCTGTGAGAAAAAAACTGCCTTGGCCTCAGAGGGTTGTGGGGGACTTTGAACCCTTGGAGATTTATGTCCAAATTTTCTTTCTTTTTTGTGTGCATGGGTGTTTTTGCTTGCATGTATGTCTGTGCACGGTACGAACGTCTGGTTTTGCTTGCATGTATGTCTGTGCACGATACGAATGTCTGGTTTTCACAGAGGCCAAAAGAGGTCACAGATCCCCTGGAGCTGGAGTTACAGGTAGTTGTGAGCTCCCATATAGGGGCTGGGAACTGAACCTGAGTCCTCTGTAAGAGCAAGTGCTCTTAACCTCTGAGCTAGCTCTTCAGCCCCTGCATGTGAACTTTCAAAAAGTTGACCCAGGGCTTCCTGGTCTCACCATCCCTGGGGCCCTGAGATTTTTGGCTCCAGCATACATGGGATTCCAGTGTCCTTAGTCTTGTGGCTTCAGACTCCAGCCAGCAGAGAGCAGTCATCCCTGGGTTCCTTCCTGGAGGCCGTGTCTTTCCTTCAGTCAGCAGTCACAGTTTATCCTATCTGTCCTGTTTCCGGGACAGCAGAGCTGCCAAGGTAGAGGGCGTTTCTGTCTGGTGTTGACCTCCTTCCTCTGACAGGCTGAGGCCCACTGCCCTCCTTTCAGGTCTTTCCTACTGTGTTCCTCACAGTCTTCCTGACTATGGCCCTCGTCACCTGACCTGGTTCTCTCTGGGAACTTTCCAGAGGAGGAAATGATACTAGAGGACAGAAGGGAGGAACTTGGCTCAGCTTTCCTTCTGAGAGGAAGTGAGAGGCAGAATCAGGACGGGCCTAGTGTTGGGATGAACTGGAGACTTCTGAGGGGGTTAGTGTGAGGCAGCATGTGCCGTAGGTTGGGAGCCACCATGGCTCCTTGTGCTCCGCTGGCTCATGTGTGCATATGCCAAATGCTTATATTGTTGTTGGCTCTGAATACATGTCTCCAGGTTAAACTGTGTTATCTGGGGATAGCTAATGCATTTCCTTCCTTTTCCCCAGGGCTTGTCAATGAGGCAGATTCGATTCCGGTTTGATGGACAACCGATCAATGAAACAGACACTCCAGCCCAGGTATGAAGTATCTGTTTCCAGGTTATGCACCATTTCTAGTATCTAACGGAGTCCATTCGGAACACTGTAATTTGAGAAATGGCTTGTTTCCACAATGATTTTTTTTTTAATTTATTTTTATGGGCATTGGTGTTTTGCCTGTGTTATGTGTGTCAGTAGATCTTAGAGTTCCAGACAGTTGTGAGGTGCCATGTGGGTGCTGGGATTTGAACCTCTAGAAGAACAGTCAGTGCTCCTAACTGCTGAGCCATGTCTCTAGCCCCCCCCCGCAATGATTTCGATTGTTAGATTTCTGATTTTGATATTTTGAGATTGAGTTCTTAGACAAGTGGTAGTCAGACATACCTTTGCTGTTTAGTGATAGTCCAAGTGTAGCACCCCTACTCTCAGGACGATTGCCCAGGAATCCACTGTGAGGGCTGTTGTAGACCGCTCCTATGCTCCTAGGGGCTTAGCGCCAACCCTTTTAAAATTTTTAATTAAAAATATTTTTGTGAGGGCTGGATAGTCAGCTCAGTAGTTCAGCACACTTGTTCTCGCAAATGATCCGGGTTTGATTCCCGATACCTACATGACAGCTTACAACTGTCTTTAACTGTAGTCCCAGGAAATCTCATGCCCTCTTGTACCTCTAGGCACTGGACGCACATGTGATGCATAGACATACGTGCACATAAAAATTAATTAAAAATATTTTTTGGGGGGGGCTGGGTGGTCGTGGTGCATGCCTTTGATCCTAGGATTTAGAAGTTATAGGTAGGCCGATCTCTGAGTTTGAGGCTAGCCTGGGCTACAGAGCAAGTTCTAGAATAGCCATGGCTGCACAGAGAAACCTGTCTCAATTTTTTTTTTTTTCTTGTGGAGTTGGAGAGATAGCTTAGGGGTGAAGAGCCCTGGCTGTTTTCCCAAAGGACCTGGCTTCAATTCCTAGTACCTACACGGCACCTCAACACTGTCTATAACTCCAGTGTTAGGGGTTCCAAGAATTCTCTATGCATTTGGGGCACATAAACTCACATATCTACATATACAGACACATAAAAACAAAAGATAAATGAATAGTAATTTTTCTGTGAACGTAAAATGTTTATCTAAAAATGATGGAGCTGGCAAGATGGCTTACTAGTTGGGTGCTTTGTCATCAAACCTGGTGACCCGAGTTCATGTGAGTGCCCCTTGCCTCATTAAAAATGTATTCAAGTATCTTAAAATGCTGACATTGCAGTATAATATACGCAAGCACACAGTGTATTCTGTGGCTGATGAGCCTGGGTTTTTTTTTTTTTTTTTTTTTTTTGGTTTTTCGAGACAGGGTTTCTCTGTGCAGCCCTGGCTGTCCTGGAGCTCACTCTGTGACCAGGCTGGCCTCGAACTCAGAAATCCGCCTGCCTCTGCCTCCCAAGCCTGTCTTTAATGACCCCATTTCCCTCTTAGTTCTTAGCTCTGACTGTTCTTCTGTGAATCTTGTCAGAAGTCGGGTGGATAAGTAGTTACTGTGACTCCACAGTAACCTTTTTACTCAAACGCTGCCCTCCAGCCAAGGTGACTGGGCTGTGTCTAGTGTAGGGGAGCTGTTTGGGAGCGTGGGATCATTGTGAACTTACTTCTGACATTTTCTGTCTCCTCTCCCGGGCCCGCCTTGGCAACTTGACTAGCTGGAGATGGAGGATGAGGACACCATCGACGTATTCCAGCAGCAGACAGGAGGAATAGCCTCCCGAGGGAGCGTCCCCATACCCAACCATTGTCCTGACATGTGCTATTGAGCGGTGACCATCCAGCCACATCAATCACACAAGAGTCAGCAGAAGCCAGAGTCACCGAACGATTCTCCTTTTCCGACGCGCTTGGAGTGAACTACGTACAGACCGCACTGCAGGGCGAGAGCATTACATAACGTGGCCGTTGGGAGGGTTTGCTTTGGGGGAATGAGGCGTGAGGTTTTGGGGTTTGTTTTTGTTTTCATTTCTGTTTTCCTCCCATCCCTAAAATTTTTTCCCCCAAACATGGGTCTGGATGTAGACTCTCACCCTATGGCCTGAGTCTAATTCCCTAGAACTGTGGTTTCCTCTGGTGTGACTTGTCCTGATCAGGTAGAGAGAGCTTGTGGTCACATTACCCAATGGGCATGCCTGTGGGATGTGGGGAGGGGGCAGAGAGGCAGAATTCCACCTGTTTGTTACAGGCATAGAATATTTGAAATACTGTAAGTTTGAGCTTTGTCAAGCATATGGTAAAGTTAAAGGAAAAAGACCAATGCTTCTTAAGAAACATGAGGAGTCTTCCTCCTGTGGCCCAGGCGCTCCTGCACATGCCCACTTCCTTCTCAGTATCTGGTAGTGGGTACATGGATAAGGGTGGTACAATGAAACCCACTCTCTTCCCTTTTTATAATGTAGAAGAAAGAAATTGTCATGTCTCATTTGGAAATTGAATGTGGCCTCAGATTTCTCCTAGTACTTGCTTTCGATATGTAATTATGGTTTCTGTATAAGAAGGTAATTGGTTAAGTATCACGTTTTCAGCGATGTTGTGTAAGAGACCTGCTTTCAAGTGTGGTTGCAAAAGCAAGCCCGGGAAAGGTGACCTCATTCTCACGGATTGTGCTGTGCAGCTTTCCAAGTGTGTATTAAAGTGACACATCAGTGGGAGACTTCAGTTCTGCATTGTGGGGTCAGTTAAGTGTCCATAGTTCCTGCCGTCATCCTTCTGTAAGGATCCATTGCTGCTTGATGGCCATCTCTGCCTTTTATAGTCACCCGACACTGACCTACCATCTCTTGCTTGCTTAAAGTCCTGAGGAAAACGGTCCTGTTCCTGTTTGCTGCGTGGGCCTGGGTGGGATGTCTGTCGGCTCTGTTGTGTTTATTCACCGGTTTGTACATTATCTGTTGTCCTTTACTGCTACTGTAAACAGTAAATATAGTTTGGTATTCTGTCTCTTGGCCTATGTTAAACACTGTATTTGGAGGCTGGTCATATGTCACAGCTCACTGTTGACAGTCTGTCCAGTGAGGTCACTCAGATGGACAGACAAGGCAGCTGCTTAGCTCACTCTGCAGCATGTGCTGGTCCTCAATCTGCACATACCCCTTGGCTCTCCTCCCCTAGGTGTGTGAAGATAAGGTGGGCTTTGGGGGCGGGGTGTCGTGTGGGGTTATCAGTCAGTTGCGGACCTACTAATCGGCTTTGACAGGAACTGATGCTGATGTGGCTGTGAGGGGTTTCTGTACTTAGCTGAGACAAAACCAGGGTTGTCATTGCCTGAGCTGTGTTAGTCTATCAGTTGAGCACAGGCATCAAGCTCTTAATTCAATGTGTGCATTCAAATACAGTACAGAGCCAGAGCCCTTTTCTAGGTCTCTCAGTGCTGTCCCAGAATACGTGGCAAGCAGCCTAGAGGAGCAATTTATGGTTTGAAGGTGCTTCATCATGACAGAGAAGACTAGGGTAACTGGAGCATTAGGCTGCTTGTTGAGGGAGATCAGGAAGCAGTTAATCCTGTCAGGAAAAGGCCCTTAGGGTATACTCAAAGGGCAACTTCATTAACACTCTAGGCATTTCTTAACTGAATCAAGTTTCTGGTCAGCCAGACACCCAAATACATCACTGTAGAATCTACTTGCCTCTTAAAATCATGTGTTGCATAGTACAAAACACATTTAGTCTGTCTCTGAGTGCCCACCCCCAAAGTTCAACGTCTGCTCTGAGACGCAAGACAGTTTTTGAATCGTGAGTCCCTGTAAAATAAACAAGTTATTTCTAACATACAACAGCACAGAGTCAACATGCCTATTTCAAAAGGGAGGGATTGGAGCATAGCAAAGATTAGGTTGAAGCAAGATCAATGAAAGCCAGCAGGGCACAAACCAAAGCCTGCTGCTCCGTGTCTAGCGTCAGGTTCTTGGGCCACGGGTCGTCTCATCCCACAGTTGTGTTGCCTGAGGTGCTTGTGGTCTCTGTTGGGCCAATACTTGGTATCTACAGCATTCATCAGTGAACACCCCACCCTGCTGGCATCTCTAACATCCGGGGATCCCTACCAGATAACCTCTCCCTTCTCCACACAGTGGCTTCTCAGGGCCTCTGTACAGGAAATCTGATATTCCCATTTCTTGCCTTGTTTCAGTGGCTCTCTGGACTCTTGGCACAAATTTCCATTCTTTCTTCCCTCCTACATCTTGCAAATGTGGACGCCACCACCAGATTTGGCTGTCAGTTCCAGATGAAGCCTGGCATCCTTAGGCCACAGTTGCAGCCACCTCTGTGTGCTCTTGGGGCTGGGAAAACTTCTACCTCCTGTTTTTTTCAGCAGCGAACCCTGAAGGGTCTCTCTGGGCACTCACCTTTCAGATGAATTTGCATTTTCATACCCCGGGGCCCTCATTTCAATAGGCACTGTACCTACTGTCCCAGTGCAAGGTCTCAGACAGCTCTTGGGTGGCACTAAATTCCTTTTGTTCCAAATCCGCCCTGCCCTCAACTGGGTCGGATCTCTCCTCACCAAAACACACTTCCCACGTTTCTCTGGGCCACTTTCTACTTGCTGTCACTGTAAATCTGGATAAATGTGGTGAACAAGAACCATGCCACCGCCTGGATGTTAGGTAGGCTGCCCTGAAATCCCCTCTGCCAAACAGCTTAGCCCATTCCTTTTGAAATTTGGCCTCACTCAAGTTTTTGAGATGCAGGGAAATGACAGCTAGAATTGTTACGGGGAGTCCACCAGAGAAGACACTCGGATACAGTCTACAGCCAACTGGAAATCTATTACAGCCAGCTGGGACCACACTTAGGTATTTGGGACTCAAGACTAAAGAACACTGCTTTGCAGGGGTTAAATCAGTAGCAAAATTACAGTTATGAAGTAGCAGCAAAGATAATCTTATGGTTGGGGGGGGTCACCACAACATGAACTGTGTTAACGGGTTGCAGCGTTAGGAAGGAAGGTTGAGCACCGCTGGTTTCGAATATAGAGTAAGGTGGGTTTTTTTTTAAAAAACTTTTTCTAATTTTTTAAGAATAATTCATGTATATGAGTACACTGTCGCTGTCTTCAGACACACCAGAAGAGGGCATCGGATCCCATTACAGATGGTTGTGAGCCACCATGTGGTTGCTGGGACTTGAACTCAGGACCTCTGGAAGAGCAGCCAGTGCTCTTAACCACTGAGCCATCTCTCCAGTCCTGAGTAAGGTGTTTTTAAAGACAAAAAAACCACATCCTGCTAACTCAGTCAGCAGTTTGCAGGGAGAAGTTTTGTGTAAGCAGTTTAAAAGCAGTTAGCCAGAGGAGGCTCTGCGTAAGCTTTAACAGAAGCTAAGTTAGCTGAGGCGTCTTGACCTCGGGTTCCTAGAATAGAGCTGAACAACTGTCCATGAGGCTTCCCATCAAGGAGATCAGATTCTAGTTAAACCTAAAATGGCCTCAGCAAGAATCCAAGACGGAGGAAACTGCATTGTGTTGTCCTGCCACAGGATGTGACATGAAATGGTTGCCAGCCGAGTTTCTGATATGCTCCTTGTTCACCTCTGGGAGAAAGCTTCCTGAGCAGTCTTAACTACCTGCATTTCTTGGCGTTCTGGTCTTGCGGATTCTCACCAGAATGGTCCTCTTAGTCCTGCTCACAGCGTTTCAGGGCTAGTCTAGCTCGCAGCTCTGCACCTGTCTTCCACTTTTCTCCTTAAAACTAGCTCTGGGGCTGGACTGGAGAGATGGCTCAGTGGTTAAGAGCACTGACTGTTCTTCCAGAGGTCCTGAGTTCAATTCCCAGCAACCACATGGTGGCTCACAACCATCTGTAATGGGATCTGATGCCCTCTTCTGGTGTGTCTGAAGACAGCGACAGTGTACTCACAATATAAATAAATAAATCTTAAAAACAACTAGCTCTGAAGAGCTGCACCTCATGGTCAGGCTTATCGCAGCAACTGCCTCTGTTCATGGTACCTACTTTACTATTTTGTTTTCTTGCTACTGGGATCAATACCTGACACGAAACATCTTACCAGAAGTTAATTTTGTCTCAGGGTTTGAGGGGATACAGTCTATGATGGTGGCAGGTGGTTCTAAGGCAGCAGCAGCGTGTGACAGCTGCTTGCTCACGCCTTAGCTGACTAGGAAGCAGAAAGAAATAGAATCCAAGCCGATTCTGATCTCAAAATTCACCCCCCACCCCCTCCACCCCCAAGGGACCCACTCACTCCAGTGAGGTTGCATCTGTTAAAGGTTCCACCCTGACCAGCGTTCAAACATAGGGGCACGCCTCACATTCAAATTGTCCCAGGGAATCGGGGCTGCCACATCACTTGGATATGTCAGAATAGCTTGTGCTTCTATAGGCAACAGCAGGAGGAACCGTGTGCCCTGGAGGCTGGCTTTTGTCTTGTGGGTAGGGCGTGGGGAGGGTTACGCTTGCGTGAGTTTTCACCCTACATGGAACTGGAGTAGCATCCTAATATTCTTTTTAAAAATGACAAATGCCATGAATCTAATGCCTCAAATCTTCTGAGTTCAGTGGATGTTTGCGGAGATAACAGCTACTTATCTGTGCTCAGGGTCCCAGCAGGAACTTTCTTTGTCCGAAGTACCTAGTCCTGGGAGCCCCTTTGTTAAGAGAACCGAATCCGAGCTGTATCTCTCATGTCCACTCAGGGAAAACAGTTGCGTACCCAAGAAGATACCAAGCGGGCTGGAGAGATGGCTCAGCGGTTAAGAGCACTGACTGCTCTTCCAGAGGTTCTGAGTTCAAATCCCAGCAACCACCTGGTGGCTCACAACCATCTGTAATGGGATCAGTGTCCTCTTCTGGTGTGTCTGAAGACAGCTACAATGTACTCATATAAATAAATAAACCTTTACAAAAATCAAACATTAAAAAACACTATTAAAAAAAGAGAAAGAAAAAAAAGAAGATTCCAAGCATCTATCTGGTAGCTCCGTATGAGGAAGTACAGCTTCCTTGGCAGAGTCTTGACTTTTTTGGCTACAGAGAGGACAGGATATGGCCCGGGGACTTTATCCTTCCTTGGTGAACCAAGGTACTCTTTCTCAGGCTAAAAGTGTCATCTTCAGCTGGGCGGTGGTGGCGCACACCTTTAATCCCAGCACTTGGGAGGCAGAGGCAGGAGGATTTCTGAGTTCGAGGCCAGCCTGCTCTACAGAGTGAGTTCCAGGACAGCCAAGGCTACACAGAAAAACCCTGTCTCAAAAAAGAAAAAAGAAAAAAAAAAGTGTCAAAGTGTCATCTTCTCAAATCACCTGGGTCTCAAAAGCCGGGTGTAGTGACACAGGTCTTTAATCGCAGCACATGGAAGACACAGGCAGAATCTTTGTGAGTTCGAGGCCGGCCTGAGCTAAAATATTGAGTTCTAGGACACCCATGCCTACATAGCGGGGAAAACAAGTTTCACGATCTGGACAGCCACTCATGAGTGGAGTGCCAGGCGCAAGGAAAAGAGTGTCATTCGGGAACAATCCATGATGGGCCATTAGCTCTTGTAGGATTTTTCAAAACTAAACGGCCACGGGGCGAGCTACGCGCAGCTTCACGGTGGCGTAGGAAGGTTCCAACGCTGAGGGTGAAGCTGGCCGAGAAGCTTCTGGAACCCGAGCTCCGTCAGCCCGGGGCGCCTTGACCGTGACGGCGCGAGGCGGACCCCAGCGAGCCTCTGTCTGACGCTCCCCGGCGCGCCACGTCACCCGCGCGTGCCCCGGATGCATTTGCGGCCGGGAGCCCGCGCGACCCGGAAGCAGCCGTGGGCGTCGGAGCGGGCGGGCGGGACCGGCGCGGATGTGGCGAGGCTGCTGAACGCAGGTTCCGCGGTATGGCGGGGACGGCGTTGAAGAGGCTGATGGCCGAGTATAAGCGTGAGTCAGGCGGCGCCCGCGTTCCCGTCTTCTTCCCCATAGCCGCCCGCGGCGTGGCCTGGCATGGCTCGGTGCGGGGCGGGGCGAGCGTACTGGGCCCGGGCTGCGGGAGCCTGCGTGCGGAAAGAAGGCCGGGCTGTCGCCGTCACCTGCGCGCCCCGGCTGGCTGCAGCGGGGCAGGCCCTGAGCGCAGAAGCTGTGCCTGGCCAGCGCCGCCATGGCCCTGTGACCCGGGTCTGATCCCTGAGCCCCTGTGCGCTGCGCATCTGCCCTCCCGACAGTTGATGTTGCGGGGCGACTACCGGGTGATCCCCGAAAGGTGGTCGTGAGGTCGAGGAGAGTTTGGGGAGAAAGTTAAAAGTAAGCAGAATAACGACTCAGACCTCGGGCCACGCTGCAGGTGCGAGTTCCTGGGGCAAAACAAAGTTTCTCGGACATGGGCTCCGGGCCGTTTCCTTGGATCCGGATCCGGATCTGTATTTCTCTCTGTTTTACTTTTTCAGCCTTGTTTGTAGATTGAGAAACATCATCCCCTTTATCTTAAAGAGAGAGAGAGAGAGAGAGAGAGAGAGAGAGAGAGACAGAGAGAGAGACAGAGAGAGAGACAGAGAGAGAGACAGAGAGAGAGACAGAGAGAGAGAACGAGAACGAGAACGAACGAACAGCAGTTAGGCTCCGGGACAGGGGTTTAAGTTCTGACAGCTTCTACCCAAGGGTATTCACGTTAGAGAAAAACTTATCCCTCACAAAAGCCTCAACTCTGATGTCAGACAAAACGTATTGTCAGTTAGTTTGAAGTCGTGAATCACTTCAGTGTGTGAGAGAGAAAGAATTTGGTTAAAGAGGGAACCCTAAAATCGGAAGGCTGGCGAGGAGCTCAGGGGGTTCACAGAGGAGAGGGCTCCACCTGCTGTGGTTTCTTGGAAGAGGAAATAAAAAGGGCAGGGAGCTAAGGGTGGCCCCAGGCTGACAGCTAGTCTGGGACCAGTGTTACAGCCATATGGAACTGAGTCATGCCGGCGACTTGAATGGACTTGGGTTGCAGCCCTGAAACACCCAGCTGTCCCGGCTGGACCCAGGCCCGCTGACACATGGAAACCATAAGGTCATCAATGGATATTGTGTAAGCCTTCGACAACAGTGACTGGGAAATGCATCCAGCAATATCAAACACGAGGAGAGAGGACAGTTTCTTCCGTGTCCCTGTAGATCCATTAAACGTCCCACTGAGTGTTTTTCTTCTTTTATGGTGTAAAAGGTTTGTCCTCTGTGTTTAAGACTAGGTAGAGTCAACAGGCACATCCAAGGGTAGACTAGAGCATAGGCAGATTTGGGTAGGTGTTCTTCCATACTGATAGTACTGCAGAATTAGGGGTGATAGGACCTTGGGTGTGGTTCATTGTCTAACTCAACAAATTTTATTACTTTATGTATTTGAGTGTTTTGATTACAGGTAGGTAAGTGTGCCATATGTGCGCCTGGTACCAGTGGATGTCAGTAGATGACATCAGATCCCCTGGGACTGGAGTTGCAGCTGGTTGTGAGTCTCTGCGTGGGTTCTGGACTAGAACCTGGATCTTCTGCAAGAGCATCTCTGAGTCATCTCTTCAGCCCTGGTGCTTTTCAGGCTCCTTGGTTTTATAGGCCGTTGAATAACAGCCGCAAAAGCATGAGACTGTGCTCAAATCACAAAAAGAGCCAAGCCAAGACCTTAGACGGCTCCCAGGCTCACTCTCTTGTACAAGTGCAGCGTCCTGAGCGTGCAGAGACAGATAATGGATGTCCCCGCCTCTGTCATTCACTCTCTACCTTCTTCCCTTGAGACCTGGCCTGTCACTGAACATGGGGCTCATCACTTCAGCTACCGTGGCCAGCCAGTCAGCCCCAGACATCTTCCTGTTTCCGCCCTTGCCTCCGTCTCTGGGGCTGCAGGCACCCTTGGTAAATAAAGCCTGCCTCGTCTTCATACGGGTGCCAATGCTCAAACTCGGTCCCTCTGGAAGAGCAGCGTGTGCTCTTGTATTCTCATCACATGCTCCCACAGCCTTTCTTCTGACTGTGACAGACAAGGGAACAGTGGCCCAGGGCTGCTGTGACATTGTCACCACCCAGACAGCTTACCATAACAGACACCGTCTCATGGTTTGGAGGCCTGGGCTGTGACCCTAGGCAGGGTGGGTTCTTGGGGAAGGGCCTTTCTGCCTCTCAGCACTAGAGTGCTGGCTACTGTGGGTTACTTAGCTGTGTTATCGTAACTCCTACCTATCCTGTACCGCCCTGTGGCCATCTTAGCCTGGGTGTGTTGGTATTCAGATTTTCCACTTGAAACGTCAACAGTTACTGGCTCAGGGCCCAGCCTAGTCAGAATGTTCTATTTAATTCTGGTGCATCTGCCGAGACTCTGTTTCCAGACAGTGTCACAGTTCCCAATTTGTGGTAGACTTGAGATTGTTTTAAAATTACATTTGTTTTTGTGTATTTTTGTGGGGGCAGGCAAGTGCCACCGTGCATGTGCAGAAGTCAGGACAACTGGCAAGTGTCAGTTCTCCCTTTCCTCTGTGTGGACCCTGGGAATCTTGGACTCAGCTTGGCAGGAAGTGTCTCTGCCCACCCTGGCAGCACATCAGTGTGGTAGCATGAACCAGAGCTAAGCTGTTTGCCTAAGGCCAGACACAAACACAGACGTGGAAAGGCTGAGGTCCCCGTGTTCCCGTTAAGGATCTGCTCTCAGTGCGTCTTCTCTTTGTTTCCTGGCCATGCTGGTGCTCCTTGCTATGGTGTACTGTACTGCCTTTTCATAAGCAGGCATTCATTCAGGAATTCCCAAAGCTGGGAGCCAAAACTTTCCTCAGGCACATCGCTACAGTAATGACCCGCTGAGTAACTCGGCGTCTGTGATGCCCTGCTTGCAGATCAGAGCATGACAGTGATCCAGAGTCTTCATCTTCTTCCCAGGACCACCAGGAGTTACCAACACACCAAGTTGTCTTTCTTTTCCTTTCTTCATATTGCACGTTCTATCTCTGGAAAGTGTGTGGTTTCCTTTTGTTTGTCTTAATAGGAATTATACAGTGTATGCTCTTGGTTTGCTTTGCCCTGGCACCTCTTGCCCAGCCTCGAGTCTCAGCTTGCTTTCTCGCGAACCTTGTGACTGCAGTTCCCTTCCGTGCTCAGTGGATTTCTTTTCATAAACAAACCAGAGTCCCTCTGTTCTGCTGCTGGTAGACACTGAAGTTACTTGCAGTTTGATTCTTGAAAGTCCTGTGGCTGTGAGCAGTTTTGAAAATCTCTTGGTGGACATGTGCAGGTTTGCACTGGGAGCATAGTGAGACCCACGCAGCATGTGAGTGACCAGCCAGCGTTACCAGATATGCTAACTGCTTTTCACTGCAGTTTTCTGGCGTGTGTCATGGCCCACCACAGCTGAGTATCCTGCTGTGGAGACTTTTCACTTGTGCATTAGCTTTGGGTCTTCATCTTGTCTGGTAGGTGTAGTGAGGCAGTAGCATCCTTTCGCGTAAAAAAAGGCCATCTCTGCCTTTTTTGCCACATGTCTGTCTCTGGCAGACTTCACACAGGGCTGACTTTCTTGCTGGACTGCAGGATCCTGTATGTTCGGATGTGCCACATCCATGTTGTGAGTATGCCCTGCCCTGGGACCCTTCTGTCTCTCCTCCCTGCCCCTCCTAGTAGTACCAGTCTGCTTTCCCTTACTAGAGTCTTGGTGCTCCCTTCCTCGGGCCTCTGCATTCAGCACTGTTTCGCTGGACCTGTCCGTGCTTTAGTGTCCCCTTACCCTTACCCAGCAGCAAGTGATGAAATAGAACGGGCAGTTACAACTGTTGTGTAAAAGTTCTGGCAGGGCTTGGCAGGGTGGAGTGAGATTTCACTATAGTTCTCTGAGTTGCCATTGGAAATTTATTGTTATTTACTTCTGGGAATTTCCACTGATACTTTGATATCTTCAGACCTGTTGACCCTGAATATTCACAGAAAAGGGACCTGTTTCTTTTCTTTTTAAAGGTTTTAGTTTTAGTCTACACATATGGTCTTTTGCCTTTCCACATGTCTGTGTACCAAGCACATGCCTGGTGTCTGCAGAAGCCAGAGGAAGGAGTTGGATCTCCTGGAACTGGGTTGTGAGCTGCTGTGTGGGTGCTGGGAACTGAACCAGGGACCTCTGGAAGAGCAGCCAGTGTTCTTAACCACTGAGCCATATCCCTAGCCCAGCGGTGTCCTTTCTAATGCAGAGTCAAAGCCCGTTGCGTGGTCAGTGTCCTTTCTAATGCAGAGTCAAAGCCCATTGCGTGGTCAGGCTGGCTGTTTAAACACTTGCTGCCTGATGATCAGTGGGACATTGCCAGCTTGTGGCTGTGACAACAAGACCTGCTGTGAACATCGTGTGCTTGTCTCTGTGGAATCGCACTTTGGCTTCTCCTGAACAAACTCCTGGTCACTGTAAAAGGAGCCAACCAGTTATTAGTGTGAAAGGAGCCACCCAGTTGTTAGTGTGAAAGGA